GTTTAAGCCTATATGCAATATACTTTTATGAAATAAAGCTACAAAATGGGTACATGAAATGCACCTAACATATAGTAACTACATAAATTTTTAAACAACAAAAAACAGTCATTAACTATCCATCCACATGAAATGTATGCTTTACTAGCTTGTACAATGGTTGTAAAGGTATTGTTATTCATATGGATAGATCAATGAAAATATCAACTCCTCATGTCCTATACAAATTTTATAAATGGTGTTACATAATTAAAAAATAAGATGTATCTTTATATTGTTTTGTGACCATTTCTCTGTTTTTGTTTTAGTGCTTGCACGTGCTATTAAAAGTGGCTATATGTGTGACCACGGTATAAAAGATAAATTGTTATAAGTTTTTGTATTACATTATATATAGATATAGATTTATCATCTTAGTTCTAATATATTGATTGAACAGAACTTATCTTCAATGAATACCAAGGGTTACTTTCAGGTGATGTAATGTTTACACGACGTTTTAAAACAGGTAATATGACGATGAAAAAGCTTTTAAAATAACAAAACCCTGCTAAATAAAACTATATATATATATATATATATATATATATATATATATATATATATATATATATATATATATATATATATATATATATATATATATATATATATATATATATTTAACTAAGTTTATTGTTTTCTTGTTATAATTAGCTTTATGCAAAGGAATAAGAGGTGGATTAATCGATCAACATCACATCATCCTTGCTTATTTTTTGGAGTTTGAGAAGAAACCATTTCAACAAAGGAAACATGGTGAATACCTTTTAGCCAAGACACTACGAAATAGCAAGTATTTCATAAGCACGTGGAATTTATATAAAATATTGTGCTATATTAATTAATTAATTAACATTTTTGTACACAGCTATGAATGCCATACTTGAAAATGGCTCCAGGCCTATCAAGGATGTTGATAATGGTTGGTAAGTTATGCTGTCAATCTATAAACACTAATTACATTTATAATAATAATAAAAAAAATTATAATATTGTTCGTTGGTGTTGCAGGTTCGCCCGATGGGTTCGGAATGGAGATCCACCTATGCTCTAAATACCTTGGTTCATCTATGTGTTAAAAAAAATTACTTTCAGTCATACAGTACCTTTATATCTTACCCATAATGTTTGGGCTAAATACTTTATATAGTGTTTGTGTCAATAATAATGAGTATGTGTTCGTGTGTCTTTTATTACTTTTTTAGAAAATTGCTTTTTTTTTTTGTTGTTGAATTTTACTTGCGTGGGTGATTAAGGAATAAAAAACAAAAGAAAACTAAAAATCGAGAAGAAAAAGCTCAGGAGAAGAAACCAAAAATAGTGGATGATTTTTTTTCCTAAGTCAAAACGCATTTTCAAATTTAATTAACCTTCTAGCGGGTACATTACCTTAGTGGGTAACGGTTTCAAAATATCGAGAACGGGTTCGATTCCAAAGTATAGGCACTGGAATTGGAACCGGAATCGGTCCGTCAAATGGGTTCCGTTCTCATAATTGTCGGTTCCAAACCGATTCCTGGCCAAAGACGGGTACGTTGTCACGAACTCACGATGCTCATGCCTAGCCACCTCCATATTTTTTTTTAGATATATATATATATATATATATATATATATATATATATATATATATATATATATATATATATATACTGACCTTTTATTTTATATTTTTTTACTTTAGTACTTTTTCTTTTATGTATCTATTGTTATTAACCCTTAATTTTATAAAATAACATTTTCACCCTCTACTTTTTAAAATGTTATTTTTACCCGTCGATTTTGAACTTTGTAGATTGTCACTATTGCCCATTTATTTTCTAAATTTCCGTGTCTATCCTTCGTAGTATACATAATATGACTTTCCTATGATTACCACCCTTCAACTTTGTAAATTGTCACTTTGACCCCCTTAACTTTAAACTTTGTAAAATGTGTCTTCACCCTTTTGTCTTTGTAAAATTTCGTATTAATCATCATCCACAAATAATTAGCATCCCTTAACTTTGTAAAATATCGTTTTGACTCATTCGCCTTTAAACTTTGTAAAATGCCACTTACCCTTTCAACTTTGAATTTTGTATAATCATATTTTCCTTATTAACTTTTGTTCATTAACTTAAGAAAACTAATTTTTAACGTTCTTATTTTTATGTTTGAGTTGGCATAAATTCGAAGTTGTCAACATTTCGTCATAAATTTATAATTTTTGTTCGTTAATCTAAAAAAAATTATTTTTAAGTACGTATCGTTATAAATTCGAGTTTGTCACATTTCGACGCAATTTTTTTTTATGTTTTTGTGTTTATTTTTATGTGTGCTTCCTAATTATAAGTCGATCACATATAATACGTTTTTGATTATTTGAACTTTCGTGTGTTAACTTAAAAAAAAAAAAAAAAAAAAAAAAAAAAAAAAAATCTTGCTTATTTCTATGTATGTGTTGATATAAATTCAAGTTTCTTTACGTTTTAATTTAATTTTGTGTATGTTTTCATGATTACTTTATGAATGTGTCTTACGTATAAATCCGGTCACTTATAATACATTTTCATTCGACGGTATAAAGTAGAAGTTATCTAACGGTACCGACCTTTATATTAATCTACCAACAGATACAACAGTATCTAACTTTTATCAATAAAATCGTTAATATTCAACTTAAACTCATTTGTCACCACAATAGGCAACAAGTAAAATCTTAGTTAAAATTTAAAAATAATGTGTGCAGTTTCACACATCATGATTCAATGAAATTTTATTTGTGCAATTATGTTATCTCTTTGTATATTTTAACATATTCCACAAAAATTATTATCCTGTAACCTTTTGTATAGGTTTGTAAATCGTACAAAATTAGGGAAGAATCCCGCGTTGCGGGGGTTGGAGGGTATTTCATAATCTTATTTAAAACAGGAAATAGTAACAAACTTTAAATGTTTTACATATACTCATAGGCTTTTCAACATACAGTGTCTTAATAAGAAAAATATCGAAAGTACAATGATGTAAAAGAAAGAGTGAAAGTAGGATGCTACTTCTTGTATTTAGCTCTATAAGAATCTGTAACATCATTTTGCAAATATTACAGATTTAAATGCGAAAATGAACCCAAGGGTAAATCCATAAATATATCCGGCTAATGAGTTCACACCCTCTTTATGAGCCCTTAATACCAATTGTGTTGCACTGTTGTTTGTGTAAAGGATAAAAGCATACATCAGTAACCTAATTTACAATGAAATTGTTAAATTTTTATAAGAACAAATTATTGAAATCGTCCCTATGGTTTGGTCAAATTTGCATGTTTGGTCTCTAACTTTTGTTTTGCACTCGGACCGTCCTCATAGTATAATTTTGTTGTGTGTTTCGTCCCTCCCCGAGATAAAAAGACTATATTACCCTTTGTATTATTTTTTTCATTTGTTTTTATTATTTTCTTTGTTATTTATTAATTAAAGAAAATCAGTTATGTGACTTAAAGACATGTGGGCCCCACTCATTCTCTTACTTGTACCACAAACACCACATGCCATCGATAACCACCACAGTCCACTGAAAACCACCATCGGCCACCTATAACCACCACCGGTCACCGATAACCGCTACTCACCGATTCCCACATCATCACCATACACCTATTCTAGCTCCACTAAAACTACATAATTGATTTCATCAGGTCACAACCTAAGTTCATGTCCTAAAAATCATACTTAAAAATAGAAATCAAAACCATAACGATATCAAATTTTGAAATCAAAAACCTAACCAAAGTTAAATATGAATATCCCAAAATCAGAATCTAAGTTGAAATGAAAACAAGATATGGAAATCAAAACCCAAAACGTAAAACCTAACATGAAATCGATGAGGAAAGAAAAACCTGATGAAACCCCATAAATAAAATACGATTTCCAAAAAAGTGGTGTTAAACAGGAACGAAACTCAGTGAGATGGTGGTGGTCGGAGGATTTTAGCGGACAAAGTTCTCCACCTGCGACGAAGTTGTGAAAACCAAAATCATAAGAGGGATTCCCAATCGATAATCAATTACTTGAATGCACTGATTTCATGAAACAATTTCTGGAACACAACGGTTTCACAAACTTCATCAATCTCTGGAAAACACTAATTTCAAACCTAAGAGACGGATTTCAAAGGAAGAAATATATTGCAAGATGAAGGTGGCAGCGACTCTGTTTCACATCGACTATGGAGAACAACAGATAGGGATGATGGATGATCTGTTTGTTGTGGTTTGAAATGGTCGGTGAAGACAGTTTGCAGAAAAGAGAAGAAAGGGTGAACGGTAAGGACGGGAAGGGACTGAGGTTTTGGTGAGGGTGTTGAGAAGAGGTGGTTACTAAGGCAACAACTGTGTCGGAAAAACGGCAATGGTCATCGGGAAAGCGACGATGGTCTCTCGCCGGAAAGAAGATTTGGGGAAAACTTAGAAAACGTAATGGAGTCGGTGGATGAGAATGAAATTGGGAGTGGAAGGGTCTTTTTATTTTATTTTATTGTTAATAAACATAAAACAAATAACTAACAAAATTACAAAATGAATGAGAAAGGGCAAAACTGGCTTTTTATGTTTGACAAGGATGACCGACGCAATAAAATGAAACTGTAGGGATGGTTCGAGTGCAAAACAAAAGTTAGGGACCAAACACGTAAATTTGACCAAACCACAGGGACGATTTCAGTAATTTGTTCTTTTTATAAAATGATTCAATAACTTATTGCAATGTTGCCACCCAAGTTCGTGTGCCTTTTTATGATGGTTAAGAGATTTTTAATCATATACATTGAGATAAGATGCTGCAATTGCACATAGGTATCAGAAAAAAGAAATGGAAAATAATTTGAGGATGAAATGACTAAAAACTAAAAAGTAATATGTTCTCTAAGCTAAATAAGAGTTTTTTTTTTATAATTCAATGATGTTTAGTTAGAACTTGGAACTATTTATGTTGAATATTCCTGCATTGAGAATCTATGATTCAAGAATGTTATCCAAATAAGTGGTAGAGTTTGAAAAAGTCAAATGCATGGACTTTTCTCATAAAAGATTGTAATAATATATTTAACCTTATCTTCCAAAACATCAAGGAAAATTAAATTTGTTTTTTTTTCTTTTGCTGCAACAATGCTGATTCTTTGTTCCCCTGATGAATAGTAATTGTGAGATAATTATAAATATAATCTAAATTAAGAATCTGTAAAGCACAGTACCTGAACCCCAGTATCCTTCACAAGCATCTACATTTCAATTTATAATAAAAATTTATATTATTAAACAAACAACTCTAAAGGGTAAAATAGTAAACTCCAATAGAGGGAGAGAGATGGAGTTAGGTGAAACCTGACTAATGAGGTCCTTTGCAGCTGCAGAAACTAACGGTTTGGAAGGGAACTTCAAATCTACTTGCCTTATCCTGCAAAATTGAGTCCAACAATCTGTATCAGATATATGACATGACACACAGTTTTTGTTTAGAACAATTTCTGAACATATTACATACCTTGGAAGATATTTTATGCCAAGCTATGGCTGATTACCTTTTCATGGAACAAATCTTGGAAACTGGTACTTTCCCATGTGAATATCGGATTGAAGTGTTGTCGATTATACTGTAGAAAGTGAATTAATTACAACTTTTGAGGAATAAATGATATGAAATATGAAGATAACAACTTATGACTTTATCTAGAAGTGAGGTTATCAGCCCATTGGCGTAATCAGTCTACTGAAATCCACCAAAATTGCTCCACTAATGGCTTAACAGGAGCTTCAGAGATAACTGACCTTACTTCATGTCGCCTTTCTGTTATAAGAGCTAATTTTTTCTTCTTTTTGAAACCTGATCAACACTTGTAAAAGGAAACACATTACTCATTGTTCATTGTATATAGAAAAATATAGAGCCTAGCACAAAAGAGTGGGGTTTCAACTTTCAAGAGATATGGGAAACGACTTTTATTACATCCTGCCATAAGCCAAGTACTCAACATGTATGTGGTTGACTGTTACAACCCAACAACAACAATTAAGAGGGTGAAGCTATATTCTGACTTTAGTAGCGTATAGAGAACTTACGGATTGTGAATACTGATGGAGAATTTGATTTGCAAAAACATATGAAAGTAGTATGTAGTAAGTTTTTTTTTATCTCCATGGTTCTCAAATTCATAAGGCAATTTTTTGTGAAAATCACCGTGCCCCAATCGATTTCTGTCAAGCAAAAACCAAACACACCAATCGATTTCTGTCAAGCAAAACAAACAAACACCCATGGATTCCATGTAAAACATTAACCCCAAAAATCCATTCCATTCATAACTTTCTGTCAAGAATCAATCCCAAACACCTGCTTAAGCCTATCAATTTCTATCAAAAAAAAGAAGAAGAAGAAGAAGAAGAAGAAGTAAACGACCTGTGAGCATTCGAGCAAGCCACCACCGGAGCCCCCTGTCACCACCTTCGTCCTTCCCCTGCTTCCGTTCATCTTCGTCCATTCGGTCCTTCGGTCAGGCAAGAAACCGAAAACCCATTTTGACTTGTACCCTAGTTCTTCTACATGACCGGTCAAAGAACAGAAACCCTTTCCCCTGGCACCACTCTCTTCCCCTCCCGTCGAGCTCATTGATGATGGGGCAATCATCGGCATCGTCTCCGCCAGTGGGTCGGTTGGGTCCTTGGGCGGGTTGTTGTAATCAGGCGTTGGTGATGGCGAAGTAGGTTGCACCATATGTGTAAATGACGGTGTGACATTGGCGGTGACATCTAGGGCTCGAGTTAAGGTGGAGCATTTAAGGCAGTGGAAAAGGAGGAAGAAAGAGCTTTTCTTCAAGGAGCACCAGAGATAAGAGGAAGTGGAGCGGGAAGGGAAGATCAAGTGAGAGGTGATGGAATGATTGGGAAGTAAAAAAGAAGTGGTGGATTGGATCGGTGGCTGTGACATCCCAAAATCACGGTCAGTAAAGACCGGTTTCATTTATGTTTTTAAAATAATTTCAGAGTAAATCCTTAAAAGAGTTGTGGAATTTGTCCCCAAAACAATACATGATAAAATAAGGTTTATCAAAGCATTTCTTAAAAAAATGTATTTTCATAATATATCAAAACTCGGGATGTCATGTTCCGATACAGACACAAAAGCATAAACAATAAAACATAGACCTTATACAGTTATATATAACTACAGGTTTATAAACAAAAACACATTCACAAGTTCTCAAACTTATGCTCTCGCGCCACTACCTGTAATATAAAGAAACTGAGTGGGTCAGGCTTGGGAGCCTGGTGAACATATAGGGTTTTCAACCCACAATAAATAATTATATTTAATTTCACCAACCAACAATAACCCGATTACCCATTCCCATTATCCTCACTTTACGTCCCTATGACAACAACTATTACAAGGGACCTAATCTACGATTTTCATTGGGACGGACATTACTACAAAGGGGTTTCCTCGACAATAGATGTCCTAAAGGCAACCATGAGGGGGATAGAATACAACAAATGAACACCCAAGTTCATTACACATACAGGTTATGAGTCTGCCAGCGTTCCACTGAACTGTCTAGAAAAGTCTGTGGTCGTCATCCATATTCTGTTGGACGACTAGATCACAATCACATCGAGGCCTCTCATCAGTTTATCACACATCAACTATCTACCCAAGTTCTACCCAACATTTTTGTAGATAACAAAATACATATGCATTCATATGCAACTTAAAAACTGATAAGATACTCATTCAATACTCATTCCAAATAAACAGATAACATATATACACGTATATTTATACACACGTAACACGTATTCTAAAGTAGATACTTCATATCTATGTGTTAGAAGAAAGGGAATATACACTCACTTGATCAGAAGATGATCGGACAACACTAGTCATTGAAATTTTGTCTTTTGAGAAAAACAGAAATGAATACCATCTCCATAATTCAACCCAATGAGCAAATCATGTCCATCTTTAGCATCTGGATCAAAAGCAAGGGAAATGGGATTTGAAGTGCTGAAATTTATAGACTTTATAGGATCCTGCATATGACATTATCACATTAGATCCAAATTCATGTTGATTGTTGAAGGTGAAGTAACTAGTAAGTACCTTATCTTGAGAATTCAAATCACTGATGAAAATTGCATCACCGATGTTGAATATCAAATAAGTTCCTTTTCCATCAAAGTTTGAATTGGGTGTATAGCTATTGGTATATGAAGAACTTAATGATCCAACTTTAGTTGTTCCACTTGAAGATTTTCTTCCACCATTGCCTCCGACAAAACTAAGTGATCTACTACCATTTCCACCACCTAAGAACTTTGCTGATGCTAATTTTACACCACTACTGATGCCTATACTTGAAGATGAAGATGACAGAGCATGGGTTACAAAGGTTAACTTAGACTATTACATCATCATTAGTGCTTAGCTTGGGAACGCGGGCGTTACAGTGGTTGTTGAGTCGGTGACACCAACGTGTAGCGGTGGACAGCACATCAAAACACGTGGATTTGAAGATAGCAAGAAAGAGAAAAGCCCCCAACACATTAAAAAAATTGTAGTTACAGCAAAGTAAAGGGAAAACCACAAAAAAATGGTCCAATATGAAGAAAGTCCTGTTCACCAAGGAGTTTAGAGTTAGTATATTATATAATAGTTGACAAAATCCATTTTTACAATTTTGTAGAATATGATATATTAGGATTTAATGGTAAAAGGTAGGATTGCATTATATATATATATATATATATATATATATATATATATATATATAATTAAGTTCAAATGAGAACACTAAATAAAATAAAAACGTGAGAACATCATTTTTATGCTATTATTTTACTTTGAATTTAAAAGTATAGTATTGTAGTAATTACGATGTGAATATATTCAATTTTATATTATTCTATTATATATATATATATATATATATATATATATATATATATATATATATATATAGTAATTTAGTAAATTTTAATGTGAATGTTAATATTTGATTTTTATATATTCGTTGATGAATAATTTCATAAAGTTGTACATACAAAATTTTAATGTGAATATTAATGTGTGATTGTTCATATATTTGTTGATGAATCATGTCATAACGTTGTATATACAAAATTCATAGCAGAATAATAACATAAAGTAGTGTTTTCACGTTCTCACTTTATTTAGTGTTCTCATTATATATATATATATATATATATATATATATATATATATATATATATATATATATATATATATATATAGGCTTAGGTTATTATATTCAAAATAATTATTGTGTTATTGTATGCATAAATGTGAGCCAATCATTTTACTTATTTTAAAAAAGTGATTAATATATATTATTTAATTAAATATAATTGAAAAATACCATCTAATTTAACTAGAAGGGTATTTTAGTCAGTTAACATAGATTTAATAAAGGAAATTTGCATATTTTAAGGGATCAAAGATTCTATTAATTTTAAAAATCTGATCTTACAAATTATAAGGTTTTTAGTTCGAACATTCTGACAGAATATGTTTGAGTATGTTCAAAAATAACAAAATTTCTTGTAGAATAACAAAATTCTCGAACCATCAATTGAAGAATTAAAACAAAAATTACATTAATTCTTATAGAATACATGTAACAATTGCTAAGAATTACATTTATTTTTAAAGAATAAAACTAAAAAAAATTTCAAATCTGAAAAGAAAAACATCAAAATCTAAGAAAAACACTAATACATTCTAAAAGAATAATTTGCTAAGAGGCGTCGTTCAAATTTCGTGGTCCGTTCTTCTAGCATCAGCTTCTGTAGAAAATACAATGAATAAATTAGTGAGAAAATATTCATACTCCATTCCAACATAATTGGAATTCGTGATTCCATTTTGATAGAATTGGAATTCATTTACCAATAATTATATTAATTCGGGGGATTCTAACAGAATATGTTCATGATTACCATAAAAAAACATTATTTTATGATAGAATGCTATAAACGAAGAAATATCATTCAGTTGAAACATTTTAGCGAGCACTTGGTGTGCATGAAAACAACTTTCAATTCAGTTGAAGCATTCATCTGTCAAATAAGCAACCAAAACAACCATGATTTGTGTTCAATCAATCAAACCCAAAAACTCATCTAAACCTATTGATTAAACTTCATTGATTTACAGTAAATCAATCACATTAGACAACCAATTCACATTAGGTATTCTGATACAATATTTAACATGAATCACAAAGTAGTCTTGGAAAAAATATAGTTCTTACAATAGAGAGAACGATAAAAACACCTAATTTAACTATACTAACAATCGGTTTGGGTTGAAGTATAGCCCTAATTAATCAGAATGTGATCAAATTTAAAGCAACTAAGAACGATACCTTTGTGAAGACTTCTGGTGGGTTCTTTTGATGGGTTTTGAGCAAAACATCATTCTTATGGTGTACATGCAAAACATCAGCCCCCAGAAACCCTAAATTTCGATCTTTAAGCAAGGATAATTCACAATAGCATCAAATACATCAAACAAACAGCCATGGCTCTGATACCACTGATGGGTTTTGAGCAAAACATCATTCCTATGGTGTACATGCAAACCCTAATAGCTTTTGGATCTAATTTGTCTAATGAACATGCAATTGAATATCCAAAGCTATAAACCCTAGATCTAGCATACAATTAATCATATTAACATAAGAATAGGGTTTAGATCTTACCTTGATTGTTATGTAGCAATAACAATCTCAAATCCTCCTTGTAATAGCTTTAGAAAGCTTAGAGTCACAAGTGTCACTCCTCTAATGGCTCACAAACACCAAGAGCAAGAGGATGAAGAATGAGAAGAGAGGAGGCACCCAAAAACGTGTAGAAACCCTAAGGAATCAGTTGGCCACGTTTTTGGTGCCCTAGGGGTCCTTAAATAGTGAGGCTATTAGGGTTATCTAACAAGGAAACCCTAATTTGACTGCTTAGGCCCTAAGCAACCCATGGACTCCCTCCTTAGAGGCCTTGGACAATTTCTAATGGGTTTCCCCATAGAATTCGTCCACCCCTCTAATATGGAGTCCATTAGCCCAATATTCAACTATCATACATTGACAGTTCTAGTCCCTTAAGTTTAATTAATGTCTTTTAGCCACAAAATTAATTCTTAATTAATTATTGACTAATATTAATTAAACAATATGATTTCTCCTTTAATATATTATTCTCATAATATATTAATAAATCATAATTAATCCTCTCTCTCCATATTTCATCCTATCAAGTTGCTTTGGTGAAGGCAACCCAAAAGGACCATGCACCATCGGGTCAAGTACATACCAAAATAGTTATGGACTTAGACACTAATCCAACAGTCTCCCACTTGGATAAGTCTAATAACTATTATGCGTATGACTTCAGATCCTGATCTGCAATCGTAGCTTTCAAAAACCGCTGTCAACTCTGATCCTATCAGAAGCGTGTCCTTTAGATAAGGGATCATATATTCCTCCATTCTAGATATCGTATAGACTGAGACATGGATTTAAATCATTCTCTCTGTCTATGTGTTGTTTCCCGATTTCCGATTTACGACGACTGACAACAGACTACAATTGAACACATCAAATTAGTCCCGGCTTGGCCAAGCGCTTAGGTGCCATCACTAAATCATCGAGGGGCCCACAGATATCGCTTTTATCCTACTTAGGGTAAAAGGAACGGATAAACTTCGACTCAATGCTGGCTTGCACTCACTCACCGAATCACACACAACAATATGTTTTATAACACCAAGTTACTGGCGCGTTTACATATGATCAATGTGTAACCAACTTGCAAGATACAACTCACACATCTCGGTTTCAAGAATATACAATATTATCGACTCACAATCACTCGTGATAAAATCCATGAAGTAATCCAAGTGAGCGTGGGTTT